AGGCATGGTGGCATATGCTGTCACCCCAACACTTGGAAGGCGGAGGCAGGAGGTTGTAAGAATGCCCCATCATAGTGGGTTTATGCAGTTCTGTGACTGAACTCATGACTTTATGAGGGTAAGCATGTATTCTACCAACTGAGCTACACTCCAAGGACCCAGTATGTTTTTCATTCTACATGTCATACACATTAAGAGCAGAATTACTATCCCAGCATTTGGGAGGCAGAGGCAGGTGAATCTCCATGAGTTGACGGCCAGCCTGATCTATAGAGTGAGTTCCAGGACAGCTAGGGCTATTACACAGAGAAACCCTGTCTCAAAAAAAAAAAAAAAAATTTAATTTATTTGGTTTTATTGAGACAGGGTTTCTCTACATAGTCCTGGCTGTCCTGAAATTCACTATGTAGACTAGGCTGGTATTGAACTCAGAGAGATCTGCCTGCCTCCTGAGTGCTTGAGACTAAAAGCGCCATGCCTAGCCTCTTTCAGCATTATTAACAGCAGCCTATGTTTGTTATCTTTGGAGAAATGTCTACTCAAGTCCTTTACCCCAACCCTCTTTTAGAGACAGGATCTCATGAAGCCCAGGCTGGCCTCAAACTTGAATATGTAGCCAAGGGTGACCTTGAACTTCTGATTCTCTCACTTCCACCTCCCAATTGCTGGAAATACTGGTGTACATTACCAATGCAGCATCTTCCACTTGTTAGGGAAGCACTCTACCAACTGATCTATACCCCTAGTTTTCTTTTGCTCATTTTAAAACTGCATCCTAAATGTTTACTACAAGTAATTTTCAACTCTCGAAAAGACTTGTGTACTGGGAGCGTGGTGGGGGGGTGATGATGGTGGTAGTGGTGATTGATACTGGGGATTGAATTTTGGTCTCAACCAGTGAGCCAGCCTCAAAAGGACCTCATCCACACTGTAACAGCAGCACTTGACTTTACAATCCAACTCTGAGAACCCACTTCTACCTTCCCAAAGCTAACACAGAAGGTGGGAGCAGTGTATTTCTAGAGTACCCAGAATAAAATGGAGGATGTCCTCCAACATAGCCACTCTTACCATCTGGGGGGAACTATCCACCATCAACATACAAACTTAAAACTGGTATTTGTGGGGGCTGGAAAAATGTGTGATCAGTTAAAAGTACTGGCTACTCCTTCCAAAGGACTCAGGTTCTATTCCCTGCACCCATATGGTGCCTCACAACCATCTGTAACTCCAGGTCTGGGGATCTTAAGCCCTTTTTGGCATCCTCTAGCATAAAACATACAAATGGTACACAGACATGTCTGCTGACAAAACACCCATATACACAAAACAAATAAAAATTGAATAAATTTTAAAAAATAAATAAAAGTGGTATTTGCTGGGTATAGTGGTACATATTTATAACTCCAGTATGTGGGAGATGGAGAAAGGATTTTAAGGTCATCCTTAGGTACAAAGTAAATTTTGAGGCCAGCCTAGGCTACATGAGACACTCAACTTTAACAAGTATATTAGGGCTGAAAAGATGGCTCAGTGATTGCCTAGTTCCAGGTGATCTGATACCCCTCTGACCTCCCCCCCCACACACACACACACACTTAAAATTTAAAACTATCCAGGCAGTGGTGGCACATGTCTTTAATGTCAACACTCAGGAGGCAGAGGTAGGCAGATCTATGAGATCAAGGCCAGTCTGGTCTACAGATTGAGTTCCAGAACAGCGAGGGCTACACAGAGAAACCTTGTCTCAGAAAACAATTTTCCTTTTCCTTTTTGGCAGAATCTCACTATGTCACCCCAGCTGCCTCTGAAGTCACACTTTTCCTACTGCAGCATCCAAGGTGCAGACTACAGGCATATGCTACCATTCTGAGACCTTCTTTGGTACAAATTAAGTATGATCTCACAAAAAAGGATTCTGGGTCCCACGTGAGGCCTGTGGATGAGAAACAACCTGACAAAGACTACTCCATTCCTAGGGTTCTGACCTGATTACCACATAGCATCCTACCCACCCACATTCTGCCCATGGGCTTCTTCCTATTTTTTGTTTTATTTTTTTGAGATAGGGTCTCACTATATAGCCTTGGCTGTCTGGGAACTAACTATATAGAACTGGCTGGTCTCAAACTTGGAGATCTGCCTACCTTTGCCTCCAGAGTAATGGGATATAAGGCTCGTACCACCATGACCACCCCTAATTTTATAAGTTCAATAACCAGGCAGTCTTACCTGGATGCTCATATCAAAAGGTGTGACTTCATCTTCTCCCTGAGAGTCAAACATAGCCCTGGAGCCATCAACCAGAAAAATCAAACTATCTCTTCCTGAATATTTATATTCTCCTATGGAGGAACAAATGGAATAAAAGTTTACCTTTTGCATCACACTTATTATGCTTATCACTCACAGAGCCCACAGAGCAAAACTGCAACCTGGCAATTACCATACAGTGAACTTAAACCCACCACTCCTGTCAGGACACCAGTCCTGCCAAGCATCCTCTGTCTTCCCTACATTCTTCCTAATGTCTTCCCAAAGGAAAACTAGTCTCTTGATTTTTTTTTTTTTTTTTTTTTTTTTTTTTTTGGTACTCATTCCCTTATTTTTCTTTATAGCATGTGTGACAGGGCCTAGGTCCAATCTGCAACACCAAAGTACATGCACTACACAAAGTTTATCTAAGTAGCCGAGAGGTGGTGGTACAAGCCTTTAATCCCAGCACAACATAAGCAGAGAAACCCTGTCTCAAACAAACAAACAAAAAGAAGAAGAAAAAGAAGAAGAAACAAAAAATCATCTAAAGTATATATCTCAAATCATTAGTTTCGAGTTTTTACTTTTATTTCCTTGAAAAAATTTCTATTAAATATATGCATTTTATGTGTCAGTGTTTTGCTTATATGTATGTATGTAAAGAATGTGCTTAGTCTGCTCTTAGAGGTCAGAAGAAAGCATCAGGTCCCTTGGAAATAGAGTTATAGATGACTGTGAACTACCATGTAGGTGCTGGGAATAAACCCAAGTCCACTGGAAGAGCACCCAGTGCTCTTAACTACTAAGCCATCCATCTGTCCAGCCCCAGGAGTCTCTTATACCTTTCTGAAGGTGAGGGAGGTTTCATAGCACTATCTTGAAGCTGGGCTCTGATCCTAGGTAAGAGGAAAGAGGAAAAGTGGAGAGTAGGATGTGTAGCTACCAACAGCCACTTCATGTAGACTCACATCCCAGGAGTCATAGGGAGCTCAAATTTAATGTCAGTTACACGGTCTGATCTACGTGAGACCAAATCTCAAAAATAAATAGCTGGGCAGTGGTGTCTTACACCTCTGATCCCAGCACTCAGGAGGCAGAAGCAGGTGGATCTCTGAGATAGAGGCTAGTCTGGTAGCCTCCAGATCCAGTACCAGGACAGCCAGGGCTATACACAGAAACCCTGTCTTGAAAAACTAAATAACTAAATAAATAACTAAATAAATAGCTAAATAAATAAATAGGAGCTAGAGAAGTATCTCAGTAGTTAAAACTAGTGCTTAAGAACACTTGCAGGTGACCCAGATTCCCCTTCTCAGTGCACACATGGATGCTCACAACCACCTATAACTTCAGTTCCGGACATACACATGGTGTACACACATACATAAAATAAAAATATTTTTAAAAACAGCCAAAAATATGTAAATCAAGTAACAAAAATTACAATAGACATAATCAACGATTGGAGAGTAATAGAAAAATCTATTAGTGACTAGTAAAAAATTTAGGGTTAACAAATATTCCCAGATTGGAGTATGACCCGAATAGCTCTGAAAACCCCAAAGGAGAGTATTTTTGATTATCTGGGGAGAAAAGTAAGAACTATCAGACAGCAAAGTGCTTCCAGCAAAAAACGTAGAAAGTCTTCCACACAGACCACACTACATGATGAAGCTACCTACCACCTGGGTCAGGGCTCTCCTCCTCTTCTTCCTCTTCCTCACCCTCGGTTTTGTAATAGGATTCCCACCCTGACATGTTGGTTTGCTCACTACGTGAGAGAAATTATGAACAACAAACAAATTTAAACAGAAAAAAATACCGAGTAGCTGTGATAGAGCGCTTACCTACCGCGTGTCAGGTCTTGTGCTACACAATAAATAAGTAAATAAATAAATAAAAGAAAATCGACTTCTAGGTTCTTTCTAGATCTGCTCTAAATGCTCGGGTCACTTATGAGGAATGTGAATGATGGCTCCTGCTACCGAGAGTTCTTGGTGCTTGGAGGGAGCAGAGGAAATAAGCATGAGGATCATTCCAGCAACAACCTCCCCCCTGGCTATCTCTTAAGGAAACTGCAGGACCAAAGTGGCTGGCAGTAGGGGGCAGGGTAAAATGGAGCGGCCCAGCTCTGAAGGTCTCAACTCCAGCGCCAACTAGACTGTGAGGGTACTTGGTGTTCCCGCGAAAACACTCGTCTTCATTCTCCCCCATATCTCCCCCAACCCTCAACCAGGAACTCCCACACGCTGGGGAGAAAGGAGCAGGACCCACAGTGTGTGTCTTCGGACGGGAGCTGCTCTGCTGCGAAGCAAGGGTCCGTGGGACACTGAGGTGACTAGCCTGGCCACAGCAAACCGCGCCCAACACTTACACTACAGCCGACCTACCTTTGCAGCAGGTGAGCGGGCCAAGGGGACAGAAGGCAGGCACCACGTCTACGCGGGCTCCAGCTCTCTCTCCCAATCAACGACGTACACGTCATCACGCACACCACGCTCTTCTGTCCGTCAAGCGGACACGCCCATCTCCATCCCTGGCTTCCACCCCTATTCCTAAACTGGATCGCACGCAGGCAGGGAAAGCCCCGCCCCTTCTTTGAAGCCCCGCCCCCGCAGCCCGTCAGCACCGAACGCACATGCGCGAAAGTGCGTCCCCGCCCCCGCTCCCGGTTCCGTGCGGAGTCTCTGCGATCTCTGTCACCTCACAGTAGTCGTTGCTGGTTGCGGGCGCGGGGGCGCGAGTAGCGCAGGGCCGCCTCTCCCCCGCCCTCAGGCCGGGCCCGGGCTCGGTCCCCCGCTCCCTTCTCTCCCCACCCCGGTCGGGTACCGGAAGGTCCAAGCCGCTGCCGGGTGCCCGAGGGCCATCGTGGCCGCCGCCACGGGTCCTGATGGAGCCGCCGAATCTCTATCCGGTGAAGCTCTACGTGTACGACCTGTCCAAGGGCTTGGCCCGGCGGCTCAGCCCCATCATGCTGGGTGAGGAGACCGGGGTCAGTGGGAAGAAGGCAGGTGGTCGATCGTAGCGCCCTGCCAGGGCGGGAAGAGGGGCCCACGGGTGAGAGTGGAGTGGGATTCCCTGAGCCACCTTTCCAGCTTCTTGATCGAATCCCAAGGAGACACACGCGCTCTCCTTGCAGGGCACTGGCTGGGAGCAAACCCTTCAGCTAGGCTCTAGGGTAAGCCGACTGATCTTGCCGGGTTCCCTGTCTTCTTGTGGAACCCTCTACACTCCTTCCTTGGCTCAAAGTCGAGAAAGTGGGGATGCCTCCAGCGCGCGTCCCTGGTGGTGGAAGCAACACTGCAGAGGAGATTCTCTGGTGGCCCTCGGAGTCACTGCCCTCCGTGCCAAAAGGAAACTCCCTCTGCAGTTTGGAGTGGAGGGGAAGGGAAGGCTGGAGCGGCAAAGGGCTCTAGCCCTTGCTCGCCCTGTTCCAGTTAGGTCAAATTAAGTTAACCTGAGCCAGAACTTGGAACTAATCACATTCTGTCCGACAATCCAGTCTTCGTTCAAGAGTTCGTTGCTTTTGAACAGATGGTTTAAAAAAAAAAAAAAAAAAAAAAAAAAAAAAAAAGCTATTCTGGGATGCTATTGCTGTTGTATCAGGATTAGTATCGGTTGCACAGTTCGAACGTCTTAATACTAAGAGAGATAAAAGCAGCCCTTCAGTGAAGGTCCAGTTTCGTTTCAAGTCAAATACCAAAATGTCTGTGTCATATAGGACTTGTCAGGTTTGTCATTTCAAGTAATGATGGACAGGAAAGGATTCGGGGATTGAAAATGACATTGTTTTGTATCGTTCATTTGAATAGCTATTATTCCCTGGCGAAAGCTTAGTTCTCAGGGAGAACAAGGGGCAGAGATCAAGGAAGCTTGGCAACTTTTGAGGGCATCCATTTGTGATGTGTCACTGAGTTGAACTTAATCCTTCAACCTTGGGCCAATGAGTGGTTTCTAAATTTGGCTTCATATCAGAATCACCTAGAATGTTTGTTAAAAACACACCTAAGTACATAGCTCACTCGCCGGTGGAGTTCTTGCTTGGCATGCTTCAAGCCCTGGGTTTGATCTCTAGCCCAAAACAAAAAACAGATGCATTCATTTTCAATACACATTGTCAAATGGAATTGAAAAAAAAAAAAAAAAACTGTTAGCTAGATAGAACTTAACTGATATAATCTACTAAACAACTCAAATGTCCCCCAATCAGGAAAGAAGACTGGAACATTTTGCTTTCAACATTTGCCTTATTTTCTTCTTAAATGTGCTGGAGACTGAACTCAGGCCTCGAGTGGAACACACCTGTAATCCTAATACTAAGGAAGTTGAGGCAAGAGGGTTGTGGGTTCAAGACCAATAATGTAGGCAACATAGCCTAGTCCTACACAGTGTGAAAAAGAAAAGAAAATTAAAAAAGAAAACGAGAGATGAGGTTAAAACAGTTTCTCTACTAAAGAAACTGGTAACTGACAGCATATGAAACCCAACACATAGTGAAAGGAAAACTTTACCGTAAGCTTTACTTACTGTTTAAATACCTGTGCACATTTGTAAATTTTAAATTTGTAAATCATAGAGCCAGGATTTTTCGAAATCTTTATTTTTAATGAGTTTTTTCAGATTATTTTTATGTCCCATAACCCAAACATTTGGACCTAGGTCATGGGTTGTTGGCAGGGCTTAGGGGCCAGGTATGACTCAGTGGTAGAGGCCTTGCCTAATGTGCATAAGGCCTGAGTTCAGACTCCAGCATACCTAAGAAAAAAGTAAGGCAAATCTGAAAGCAAAATTCCCAGAGTTCTTTATTGATTGAGGACATTTGAATTGTTAATAGATTATACCAGTCAGGTTTGAGCTTAATATTGGACTGCAGCCATGTGTTTAGTTTTATCACAGGAAGGCATTGTTTGTCTCCTAGACCTTCCCCCCACCCCCTTATACTGGCTATTCTTTTGACCTAATACCAAAAGAAATATTATTTTTAACTGAAAGAGATTGTTGTTTCATTCATTAAGCAAATATTGAAGGAAGGGCTTAGCATATGCTGATGTTTAATGTGTTAATGTTTAACAGAGATGTGTAGAACCAACAGAGATGTTTGGATCATGGATATATATCAAAAGAAATTCTGATCTGTGCTGAATACCAAGATAAAAAATAATATGAGAAAATCAGTTTTAAATAAGTTTCAGAAGCTGTGATTTTAAGCTGAAAATAAAAGAGGAAGAAGCAACCATCCATGGAAGATGATAAGGAAGTTAGATTACTCTAGATAAAAGGATTGACCAGCCAAGAGCTAGAGCAGGAGTGCCTGGTGTGGAGGGGCTGAAAAATGCCTCTGTGGAGTGTGGTTGTAAAGGGGGAAGTATATAAGCAGGTGAAATAATAGACTCGTCACCCTTAGCCTTTGGGGCTTGAACCCAGGCACTTCAAGTATACTAGGCAAGTGTCCCATCACTGAGCTACATCCCTAGCAGCCCTGTTCTTTTAAATAGATGTGATGCTTTAGAAAGCATCAGCCACACCTGAAACTTCACCAATTTGGCACATCAGAGGTTATAGCCTTTCACAAATTTAATTTTCCCTTTTCTTGTATTGTTTTATTCCCTTTTACAAAATGAAGGAAGAGTTAGCAAAAATCATAGTCATTGCTTTCTAAAGGTTAAGACATTTAGGAAAAGCCAGGTAAGGTAGTTCATAGCATTCTGAGTCAAGAGGATTAGCACAAGTTTGAGGCCAGCAGGAGCTACAGAGTAAGAACCTGTCTCTGAGAAGCAAACACAAGGGCCTAGAAACCATGAGTTGTTGATTTTTTTATTGCTTTGTAGACCAGGCTGTCCTTGACTCTGAGATCCTCCTACCTCTGCCTCCTGAGTGCTGGGGGGGTAAATGTGTGCTCAGACAGTGCTGTAGTTGCACTCAGTAAACTCTTCTTTAAAAATAAACTGCTGGGGGAAAAAATGCTAGATTCTGGACATGGTTGGTGAACGCCTTTAATCCCAGCACTGGGAAGGTAGCAACAGGTGAATCTTTGTGAGTTTGAGACTGAGTTGGTCTATATAGTGAATTCCAGGACAGCCTGGACTATGAAGAGAAATCCTGTCTCAAAAAAACAAAACTAAAATAAAATGAATCAATTGCAGAGTAGGCTCAACAGTTGTTGCTCTTGCAGAAAGTATGGGTTCAGTTCCCACCAAATTGGGTGGTTCACAGCTGTCTGTAACTCCAGGTGCAGGGGACGAGATACCCTCTTCTAGCCTTTGTAAGCATGTAGTGTAAGCACAGACAAGTAGGCACACACAAACCAATAAATCAGTAAACAAACCAGAGGGCTGGAGAAATGGCTCAGCAGTTGACAGCACTTGCTGTTCCTACAGTGAACTGTAGTTCAGTTCCCAGCACCCACATCTAGCACTCACAACCACCACTAAACCCACAATTTAGGTTGATTTGACACCCTCTTCTGGCCTCTGTGGGCTTGAACACACATATGCTTGTGCTTGCACACACACAAATTAAAATACATTTTACAAAAGCAAAAATAACACCCCCCAAAAAGGTGGGAATAGGCACTGTCCTTTCCTTTCAGGTACCACCAACCTTAAACTAATTCATTTAGTTCCTGTATATTGATTTCTCATCCCTAAATATATTTAAACTTTTAAAAAAAATTGTAAGGGCCACCAAGGCAGCTCATTGGATTAAGATACTGCCCCAAGCCTGACAAACTGCCTTTGGTCCCTAAAACTTAAGGAGAGAACCAACCAACAAGTTGCCTTCTCACCACCACATGTGCAACATTCTGCACCCACACATACACACTCGTAAGTAAACGTGTTTACTTATTTTCTAAAAGAATATAGCAAAGCTGGGCGTCAGTGGCTCATGCCTTTAATCCTAGCACTCAGGAGTCAGAGGCTGGAGGGTCTCTTGAGTTAGAGGACAGCCTGGTCTATAGAGCAAGTTCCAGGACAACCTCCAAAGCAATACAGAGAAACTCTGTCTCCAAAAAATGTGTGTGTATACATATTATATATCAGAGTAGTTGAGAACTTGTCAACTTTTCCTGAGTTGCATACACTAGAATCCTTACCACACCTCTGTAAAATAGGTCTTGTTATTTGCCCCAAGTCACACAGCTGGTGGTGGCAAAACTGGGTTACAGACACAGCTTATTTCACCACCATTTTGCTAATACCAGCTTTCCAAGGTAATATTCTCTTATGACTAAAGTGGGTTTCTTGTTCAAAGGTCTAAAGGTGTCCTTAGACATCTCAAGATTGACTTAAAAAATCTGGGCTCTATGTGTGTGCTACTCTTCTAGCACTGTGCCCATCCCTCTTAGCCCTCTTTTCCAAAGCAAATTCATGTCACACTTTAGTCATGTAAATTTTGTATTATAAGATCTTATCCACAGGCTGGAGAAATGGTTCGGTGGTTAAGAGCACATACTGTTCTTGCAGAGGACCTGTTCCCAACACCCATATCAGCCAGTTCACAACTGCCTGTAACTCCAGTTCCAGTTCCAGAGGATCCAACACACCTCTGACCTCCACAGGTGCAAACTTGTACACATAAATAACAATAAAGTTACTTTTAGAAATAATAACTTTGGGGCTAGAAACATAGCTTAAAAGTTAAGAACACTGACTGCTCTTCCAGAGATCCTGAGCTCAATTCCCAGAAACCACATGGTGGCTCACAACCATCTTCATGACTTGCATGGATGCAGGCAGAAAGCTGTGTACATAATAAATAAATAAATCTTTAAAAAAAATAATAACTTCAAGACCTTATCCAATTCTGTTCCAGTTCATGATTGGCTTAAATAACACAGATTTAGACTTCACCAAATTATCCTGCCCTTTTGTTGTTTTTTTTTGTTTGTTTGTTTTTCAAGACATTTTTTCTGCGTAGCCCTGGCTATTCTGCAACTCACTCTGTGGGTCACGCTGGCCTCAAACTCACAAAGTTCCAC